TTGTTAAACTTTTGCACTTTTCCCTGATTATATTATTTGCTTAAGTTTTATTACAAACGAAATCTCACTAAAATCATCAAATGAATATTGAGTATTAAATACATGAGTGCATTTTTGTGAAATTTGTTATTTTAACTAAAAAGAATAACAAGTTTCACTATAGCAACTAGTAAATCCAATATACAATATTAAAGTAGGAAGAAGTGAGCAAGATTCTTTTCTGACATATTCCAATCTTGATAGTTAGCTGAAAAATTACCATAATTTTGCCTAAATTGTAAATCCACAAGAAAAATGAATGATTAATAATAGGACTCCAATTAAAAATAAATATAATTTTTTATATTAAAATTAGTTAATCTATAGACTTAAAGTATCAAGCATTTCAAAAGAAAATTGAATTCTCAATAGCCTATTTTAATTCAATTACAATTAATTCCAAAACTACACAATGTTTGAACTTCAATTTAACAAAAATACATAGGATAAATAGTTTTATTGATGTTTAGTATCAATAATTTTACTTTCATTTGAAAAATATTAGTCAATCTAAAAATGAAATAAAAAATAAGTACTTATAGCTTCAAAAAAAAAAGGAATTTTGAAGTTTGAAAATTTTAATTATTTACTAATTAAATAAATAACCCTGAGTTTATTTGAATGAGTTTATTTTCAACGTTTACAATTTTTTGATTGAACTCTTGTTTTGTAGCTTTATTGAAATTTTTTTGAATTTGATCAATGGGAAGACATATAAAATCCAAAGTTTGGTAAGCATCCTTAAACGTAAGATTTATTTGATATAGAAAGTTATCTAGTTCTCTAGAAAGTCTCAAGTCTAATACATCTATATTACTCAGTTATATAGCCCCTAATATGGATTAGAATTCTAAAATATTTAAATTATTCAACTGCTTAGATTTCTAAATTTTCAAATCAAGCATTATGCTTATTAGCTATGGCTATGTTCTTTGTTCTTAATATTGACTCTGAGATTTCCCATTTCACATGACTCAAAAAAAGTCTCGTATTTGCAATATTTTTAAATTAAGCATGAGAGTAATGTTTCTGGTTAATCTTCATATGCTTAATCTCTAAAAGTTGAATTAGATTCTTATCAAGCAGAGCATTTGTGGATTAATTAGAACATGTATATCCACCTCTTAATTTACATATAACTTTGTATATCAAGTTGTGGCATTATTTTATACTTGTGCATTAATAGCATTTAAAAATGATCTTAATGATACTTCTCTAAATGTATATAAAATTTGTAAATTTCATTTGTTGTAGATTTAAATCTATAATCTTTAATAAAATATGGAGGGTATATCTCTGACTATCAAATTTGATCATTAAGTATCTTTAGATTCTTTATATCAGAATTTCAATATATGTTTTTTCAACTATCAAGAAAAAAGTAATAAATAAGTTTGAATCAATCTAATCAATACTTAATATTTTATTAGATGTGCTAACAATAATAGAGGAAATTTTAATTTTTTATTTAAGTTGTACATATATAAAGCTAAAATTCCAGTCTACCAAGAAACTGCAATCTAAAGCTAAGTGAGGACAATATTAAAAAGGTAGGGTGTTTTCACCTTATTAGTACTTTACTTTGAGACCTTGGAGTTGGAAGGAGGAAAAAAAAGAAGACTACCCATTATTCTTAAATATCTAAAGCCTATAAATCGATTAGAATATCTTAAGTATATGAAACCTCAGATAATGTAAGTTATTTAAATCAGTTTACATTTTGGATACTATTAATAAAATATGCGAAATTGAAAAATGAAGTAATCAAGAATCTGATATATACTTTGACAAGTTTGCTGAAGGTTTATTTGATAAAGAATGTTGTTTCAGAGATTGAGATATAGAAATATTAATAAATATAAGATTTTCATTCAACTCCTTTAGATGATAATGTTGTTCTAACTACTAATTTTGGCCTTTGCAGAATTAATATGCAAAGGATTTATCAATCTGGCTGATAACAAAATAGAATGAAATAGGATAATAATTTGGTAATAAAATTAATAAATTTGATCAACTCTTTAACTTATTGATAAATTGAAGATTTGGTAAAATTCACTTAAAATTAATTTGTCTTTCTAAAACAGCGAGAAATTCTTGAAGAATTAGAATATGGAAATGATGCCTTAAAAATTAGATACTTAGCCAACAATTATCAAGTTATAAAAAAGCAACTCAAAAATTAAATATATCTTTTACAAATACTAATGAGAGTATCAGTGAACATTTAGTTTTCAAATCTTAAAATAGAAAAAATTGATTTTTTTAATATATTTTTTGCTTAAGATGTATAGATAGTTGATAAAGGAATAGATTATTATGCTTTCAGGATATGGATAACTACTCCTTTTAATTGAGATTATCCTCCATTTTGAGACTTAATTACATATTTTTACTCTATCAACTTGAAATCAGGGTTCATTTGTTAACCTAGATGCATGACTTTTAATCATTCAAAAAAAGGTTTTGATATCTTTTCGTCCTTTCACTAGCTTTTATACTAAATTCCCATACAATATTTTTCCTTTATTAATAAGCCTAAATTGATTATACTGATTTAAAATGAAATTATAAATAGATGATTTAATCTAATTTATAAACTATAACATCAATAAGTATATTAATTTCAACCTTGATTTTTGATGTCGGTAGAATAAGTAAATGAAGATAATATTCCCAAAAAATTAAATTTATTGATTCAAAATGATGGATATTTTTAATGTCCCTCAATAAATTTATTTTACTAATTGAATATGAATTTCCAATAAATAATTTATTTTAATTTAATTATACTTATAATTGAAAATATATGATTAATGACTAGAAAAGTAATAGTATTAATTAATTATTATTACTATTTTGACGCGTTTTTTGGTATCCTAAAATCTATTTTAGTATGATATGATATGATTACATGATTCAAAATAAAGATTTATCCTCGATTATACCATTTTAATTGACATAAAATCATTGAGCAGTAATAAAGATTTTTCATTTAGTTTAATCTCCTTACTTTGATTTTTTCACTAAAATAATGAAAATTAAATTAATTTACAAGAAGTTTCACTTTAAAATTTTTCTAAATTAACTATAAATTGTGGTATTTTTATTTTATTCAGACAATTTTCTTAAAAATTAAGGCCAAATTGCTTTTCCTAAAACTTTCTTATTTACTATGAAAGTAATTTTATTTAAATTAATAACCATATTAATTTAAAAGACAAAAAGCTCTATTATTGTAAGCATTATTTTGAGAAGGATTTAAATACATATTAATAATAGCCTCTTCATATTTTAATAGAAATTTATAGAGAATTCGTATTAAGTTAAAAAAAATATTATTTTTATGGTTCTTTTAATTTATCAAAATTCTTAAGTTGAACTAACATTGCTGAAATTTGAAATTACAAGATAAGAAATCTACTATATTAAGCAATGTTAACAAATATAATTCTGATAAAACTAATCTATCTTATTTTGTATGAATTACTAATCTTAAAATTATTTTGAACAATCTTTATTATAGATTCTAGGCAATAGCAAACAAAATTACAATTGATTTAGGTAAATTGTTTTAAGTAATCTATTGAAGGGATATCTCAAAGTTTAATTTGGTTTACTTATATATTTTTAATAGATAACCAAGTTCTAGTAGATTTGTTCAAATTATTTTGATAAGTCAAAATTAGATATCTCGATTTAAAGTGAAATTTTTATTGAAGAATGATGAATCTAAAAGTAAATAATGAAGACACNAATTGAGATTATCCTCCATTTTGAGACTTAATTACATATTTTTACTCTATCAACTTGAAATCAGGGTTCATTTGTTAACCTAGATGCATGACTTTTAATCATTCAAAAAAAGGTTTTGATATCTTTTCGTCCTTTCACTAGCTTTTATACTAAATTCCCATACAATATTTTTCCTTTATTAATAAGCCTAAATTGATTATACTGATTTAAAATGAAATTATAAATAGATGATTTAATCTAATTTATAAACTATAACATCAATAAGTATATTAATTTCAACCTTGATTTTTGATGTCGGTAGAATAAGTAAATGAAGATAATATTCCCAAAAAATTAAATTTATTGATTCAAAATGATGGATATTTTTAATGTCCCTCAATAAATTTATTTTACTAATTGAATATGAATTTCCAATAAATAATTTATTTTAATTTAATTATACTTATAATTGAAAATATATGATTAATGACTAGAAAAGTAATAGTATTAATTAATTATTATTACTATTTTGACGCGTTTTTTGGTATCCTAAAATCTATTTTAGTATGATATGATATGATTACATGATTCAAAATAAAGATTTATCCTCGATTATACCATTTTAATTGACATAAAATCATTGAGCAGTAATAAAGATTTTTCATTTAGTTTAATCTCCTTACTTTGATTTTTTCACTAAAATAATGAAAATTAAATTAATTTACAAGAAGTTTCACTTTAAAATTTTTCTAAATTAACTATAAATTGTGGTATTTTTATTTTATTCAGACAATTTTCTTAAAAATTAAGGCCAAATTGCTTTTCCTAAAACTTTCTTATTTACTATGAAAGTAATTTTATTTAAATTAATAACCATATTAATTTAAAAGACAAAAAGCTCTATTATTGTAAGCATTATTTTGAGAAGGATTTAAATACATATTAATAATAGCCTCTTCATATTTTAATAGAAATTTATAGAGAATTCGTATTAAGTTAAAAAAAATATTATTTTTATGGTTCTTTTAATTTATCAAAATTCTTAAGTTGAACTAACATTGCTGAAATTTGAAATTACAAGATAAGAAATCTACTATATTAAGCAATGTTAACAAATATAATTCTGATAAAACTAATCTATCTTATTTTGTATGAATTACTAATCTTAAAATTATTTTGAACAATCTTTATTATAGATTCTAGGCAATAGCAAACAAAATTACAATTGATTTAGGTAAATTGTTTTAAGTAATCTATTGAAGGGATATCTCAAAGTTTAATTTGGTTTACTTATATATTTTTAATAGATAACCAAGTTCTAGTAGATTTGTTCAAATTATTTTGATAAGTCAAAATTAGATATCTCGATTTAAAGTGAAATTTTTATTGAAGAATGATGAATCTAAAAGTAAATAATGAAGACACGTTCATATTTTTAATAAAAAAAAGAAATTTTTTTTATTTATATTTCTATGTAAAACATTCTTATTTTCATATAAATTAAAATAACAAATCAAATTGAAAGAATTGTAATTTTTAACTTGACTTTTCCTTTTGAATAATAAATTTTGATAATAAAATTCGTTTCCTAGTATATTTTTTTATAAATAAGAATTAATGAATTAATTCAATATATTAATATGTAATAAAAATCTCATCATGATATAGAGTATCCTATTAAAAAGAAGGTGATAGATATTAAAGTTGTCCTAGAATTGATATTTGTAATTAGACCAATATTGATTCTGAATAATAATTTCAATGCTTATCATTTATTCAAAATTGAACTTTCATACAAAATTTAATTAATAGATAACAAAAATGTTTAACACCACTATTTAAACTGGATTCATATTATTTTTTTGTTTTTGAATAAAATTCAAACCTATGAATAAATATATATTATACCCTTATTATTCCATGCTTTTCTATTTTGCATGTATTTCTTGCCTCCACTCAAAAATTCCGAACAGGTATTTCATATTGTTTAAAAAAATAAATTTGATTTTTGTATTAATATAAAAATTACGCATTAATATAGAAATTTTAGATGGAATTTTAATGTTTAAGAAATTTTATAGTAGAATTCATTTATGCAACCCTTTAATAATATTCATTTCAAAAATCAAAATAAAATTTATGATATATAATAGTTAATTTTCATACTTTTAACATGAATAAAATTTTAAGAATAAATTAATCGGAAAATTTAATTAAAATGGCCATTTATGTTGAAATCAACACATTGATTATAAAGGCTTTAGTAAAATTAACTAATTTAAAATAATATCATAGACTTTTTATAGATATAATAATCATGAGCTTGGATTATGTAATTCTATAAATTTTATTTTAAATGCCTTATACTTTTGTTTTATTTCTCTAGTATGCTATAGGGAAGCTCATTAATAGTGTTTAATTTTTCTTTCTTTGAGATACAAGAGTTTTATAGATTAAAAAATCATACTAATGAGTAAATAATGAAGTCTGTACCCCTTAAAAAATAGTAAGGCTCCTTGTGCAGTATTGCTTTCTCACAAAATAAACTAAGAGTAATATAATAATGATTAATTATTAATTTAATAACTTATTTTCTTGCGGCAATCACTGATCAATTTACTTTGTAAATTGCTTTTTATAATCTAAAAGAGATCCTTGTTTAGTATATCCATTTTTAATTTTAATACTCTTTAAATTTTGTTATAGAAAACTCATTTGTTTGACTCATCAAAAATTTTTTACTCACTTTTAGATAATGCTCTTAATAATTTTAATAATGCACAAATTGACTTTATGAAGTCACATTTTGAATCAAACCTTAGAAGGATATTTATTTTACAGTTACTGCACATTTGGCGCTTATTTTCTTATTCTGCAGTATTATTAGAAGGAAGAAATAATTTTTGTTCTAAGATCTTTACGAAATAGAATTGATTCAAAATAGCAGATTGAGTAACATATACTTTTTTCATAAGATTATAGCAATTTTTTTCAAATATTTTTTATTAGATTAATTTTTTGATCAAGATGAGATTAATGTTATTATATTAAGTTAAATTTGTGTTTCATCTCTTTGAAATTAATTATCACCCTCTATGTATTTTATTTTCTCTTATTGTTTCCTTATATTTTAATCATTTTTGTTAGTGCATTTTAAGCTAATTAAATATACTTAGATTATATTACTTTTTTAAATAACTTTTGTAGATTTTTAAATATAGTTAACAATTTCTAAATTACTTTAATGCAAAAGGTCATCTGAATATATATTTCAAGGAATGAAATAAATCATTGTTATTAATAAATAACATTTTTATCGTAATTTCTATTGTCAATTTATTGTTTTTAATTTAGATTAAATTTTTTTAATCATCTTTGTGTTAATTTCCACAACCAATTAAATTATTTTATTTGATGAATTTAAAAAAATTAATGTTTAATTAAATTTTGGAGAATCTTATAAAAATGAAATACTAAGTTAACTTTACACATTTCTTTATAATTATATAGCAAATAATATCATTAATTAATATTAATATCTCAAATTAATTTAAATTCATTTAATAACAGCCTTATGAAAGAATAGAATTATAATTGTATCAAATACTTTATTTAATATACAGAAATATGTAACCAATAATTTTAAATGATTATCTCTAATATTTATGTGTTATTCATATTTCATTATATTTTCTAATCTGAATTGCTTTTGAATTGTAATCCCAAGTTATTAAATACTAAGCATCATCACT